TCTGTGCCCGTTGTATTGAGGTAACCGCGGGCTTGGATGAAATGGCATGCTCTAACCACACAGCCAGGCCTGGGAGGGAAGCTTCTGGAAAGTGGCAGCCGAGCATCCCCAGGCAGTCTGAGGACCGCCCTGCTGATGTCTGGGCTGGCCATGGGGGACGCTGGCTGGGCAGGAAGCTGGGTGGGAGGGCGGGGGAGGAAGTAGGCTTGATTAGGGCTTGCGGCTGAGATAGGCTGCCCTGGTCACAGATAGCAGCGCCCGGAAGGGGGTGAGGTTAGCGGGCCACGAGCGGCGGGTAGCAGGCGGGGCGCCCCTCCGCCCTGTTCCCGCCACGCTCCCCACCGGAGTCCTGATGTCCACGCTTGGCTCATGTGGTGCCCAGTGAGAGTCCCTTGGTTGGTCCTGTGCCACTGTGCCCACCTGCCCACCCGCCTCAGTGTCCACATCTGTAACCTGGCTCCAGCCTCCATCATGACCTTTCCTGGCCTCATGCTGGGCTCCTCAGCATCATCCACAGCAGCAGGTAGATCCTGCCCCTGGTACGGAGCTGCCGCTCACCAGCCTCCACGGCTGCCTTCACCCACGGGGCCCAGTATAAACCCCAGGCACAGACCCCACTGTGCACTTCTAGAGACTCCCTGACCTCACCTCCACTCTGCTAAGGACAGCGTCTAGCCTCCTGCCCACGCAGCCTTCCCAGGCTCTACAAGAGGGCGGGCATTAGTGATGGAGGTGGGTGAGGGGGCGGAGGGCCAGGAGGTCTTGCGGGAGAGCTGCACACCTCCCGCGGTTGTTGCAGGCTGAGACCTAGTTACAGTCAAGGGTAGGGCTAGCGGAGGAGGTGGCCTTCACGGAGCCAGGGCCGATACGCGTGTGGATGGCGGGCATCTCTGGGCAGCCAACACTCCTACCTGTCAGCTGGCTGCCTGTGGCCCCTGCTGACCCAAGCCTGTGCCTCCCAACCCCATTCCAAGACAACCATCGGCCGGCCACAAGCCCCGCAGGGCAGGTCCCTTGCTCTTGGCCAGCCAGGCTGTGAGCTCGGCCTGGGCCTCTGCTGCTCTCGGAAGCTGCCACTTGCTCACTCGCTCGCTCGCTCCTCACGGCCAGGGCTTCACCCCGCTGGGGCTCAGCTCTGACGTGGCCTTGTTGTAGGGGTGCTGTCCTCAGCCTCTGCCTCCTCTGCCTCCTACCCCTGGGCTGGAGACCCACCGCACACTCTGGGCAGAAGTGCCTGGCCTTTCTCAGCTCCGAGGGAGCCGGGGCACTGGGCAAGCACAGAGAAGAACATGCCATGCTGGGCCTTCTGCCCCTTTACTGATAGGCAGGCAGGGGAAGGGGCAGCAGGCTTGGGCCCCGGGGCTTCAGTGACCCGAGGGACCTGACCAGAAGGCTTGGAGCTGGGGACACCGGAGGGGGTGGCTCCGGAGCCAGCTTCCAAGCTGTGCTCTGGCACTGACCCCAGGCTGACCCCTGCCATCACCAGCGCCCCTCCCCCGCCTGATAATCTAAGACAAATAGGCCTATCGCCTGCTGCGCCAGGCCCCACGATAACACAAAATAGCTGAAATGATTTTTCCCACCCACACAGGCCGGCGACGGGGGCTGGGAGGAGGGGACCGAGGCCGGCTATCGGCCCATCTCCCTGGCTGTCCATCAGCACGGCCGTCCTGCTTCAGCCGCCGCTGCCCGATAACAGACTTGAGGTTTGTGCAGAAACCCTGGGCCCGTGAGATCGGTCAGGTGGGCACAGCCCGGATAACCAGCCTGTGCCCTCACCAACCCCTGGAGGGGAGCCCCTCACCCCCACCCCTGGCTGGCGTCCAGCAAGGAGCGGTGGACAGACCTCTGGAGGCCCTCACCTGACGATCCTCTGAAGACAGCTGCTCAATGCCCTCCCCGCAGCCCTTCATTCTACAACCGAGATTCGAGTGCAGGCCTTGCTCAGCAGCGGAGCACTCGCCTAGTTGGCACAGGCCCTGGGTTATACCCCTAGCATCACAAACAGCAACAAAACCCCCACAAAGATTGGGAGGCCCTTCCTCAGATTCTAAGCACTGAGCCCAAACTAATCGTCTGGGGCCCTCGCCTGTCTCCCTACCTACGCCCACCCTAGCCTCCAGGGTTGTCAACCATGCCCTGAAACCCCAGGCCCTTTGCCCATGCTAGCTGCTTTCCTGAGCACTGCAAGCCACGCTTGGCTGAGATGGGGGCTGGGGGTTCTCTGGGGCTGTCCTTCCTGTCTCTCAAACCCGACCTTGACATTTGGGCATTCCCTCTGTGAGCCGGCAGTGTCTGCAGTGTCTGCCTGGGAGTGGCCAGCCCTCCCTCCCGACACCTCAGGGTCCTGACGGGCGGGTTGGCTCCCAGTCAACAGTGGCCCCAGGACAGAGTCCTAGGCCCCAAGTTGCCCCCAGTGGACAACATAAAAACCTCTCTGTCTCTTTCTCTCTGACCTCTGTGTCCCTCCCCACCTTAGCTGGACAGCTAGGGGCCTGCACCCCATTTTTCTACGTCTCCCCCACCTGAGCTGGACAGCCGGGGCCTGTGCCTCTGCAGCCTGACCACACCAGGCTGGGTCACAGGGGCTGGTCAGCCCTGTGGATGTGAACCGTTAGGTTGCACAGCAGAGCTGGGTTCTAGGGCCTGGGCTTCTGTCTCTGAGGTATGAAGAGGGGGTGCAGGATGGAGCTGGGGATGGAGTGTGAAGAGGGGGTGCAGGCCTGGAGCTAGGGATGGAGTGTGAAGAAGGGGTGCAGGCCCAGAGCTAGGGATGGAGTGTGACGAGGGGATGCAGGATGGAGCTGGGGATGGGGTGTGAAGAGGGGGTGCAGGATGGAGCTGGGGATGGGGTGTGAAGAGGGGGTGCAGGATGGATCTGAGGATTGGTTGTGAAGAGGGGGTACAGGCGTGGAGCTGGGGATGGGGTGTGAAGAGGGGGTGCAGGATGGATCTGAGGATGGGGTGTAAAGAGGGGGTGCAGGATGGAGCTGGGGATGGGGTGTGAAGAGGGGGTGCAGGCCCAGAGCTGTGGATGGAATGTGAAGAGAGGGTGCAGGATGGAGCTGGGGATGGGGTGTGAAGAGGGGGTGCAGGAGAGGCAGGGTGGCGCAGCAGTGTGAAGGTGGCTGGGCCCCTGCTGTGTCCTTGCTACCAAGCCAGGCACCAGACTGGGCACTGCCCGAGGTCCCCAAGCCCATGGGGACCTGCTGCCCCATCGCTGCATGGGCGGCCTCCGGCGATAAGCGGCCGCCGGGCCTCCCTGCTTCCCACCAGGCGATCCGTGTGGCCTGTGTGGGGCCTGATAGACAGCGGCCACCCGGCGGTTGGCCAGAGGCCCCTTATCAGCCCATCTCTGCCCACCGCACAGAAATCCCTATCTGTGGGTACCGACGGCCCCTCCTCGCCCTCAAGGATGCAAATAGCACAGGAAGAGCTGCAGCCACAGCCGCGCGGGCCTGGCTCCTCGCAGGGGCTGGGCGGGAGTTTTGCTTCTCCTAGAAATGAGGGTGTGAGGTGCACGTGGGGGAGGGGGCCTGGTGTGACAGACCCTCCCGATACTCAGGAGCCCCCAGCCAGCACTGGACTCACCCCTGCAAGCTGGGGCCCTCCGCCAGCCCCCAGCCTCACCCCTGCTCACGCAGCGGGGCTGCCGAGGGGCCGCTCTGTGCTGCCCGCCCGCCCGGCAGCCACCCCTGGCCCCTTCAGGACCACAGTGGTCCTCCCCACCAGCTCCCGCAGGCATGCTTCCTGTGAACTGGAGCTGAGGCCCACTGGGGGTCTGGGCTGAAGAGGTGCCCACTGCAGCCTGCTCACCACCCCTCCTGCTGGGGAAACGAACAGACGGAGCTGATGAAGTCATTGGTGTGGACACAGACAGCCCCTGTCCCACCCGGTCCCTGGCCATGCCTGCCTGGCTGTGAGGCTGCGGGGGGAGGGGAGGACTCCGCTCTGCGCGTGTCTCTGCCAGCTCACCAGGGACCCTCCCTGCCTGTCACTGGTGTGGGGAAGGACCCTCAGTGCCCACCGCACTGCACGCAGCAGGGGGTCCCCACCGGCGCTGGCCACGCGGCCCTTCCGTGCCAGGCCACCCTTCTCAGGCGGCCTTGCTTCCCATGGCTCGGGATCTCCGTCCTGATGGTTACTGGGTCACGTAAGTGACGGGGACTATGGATCCACTTGCTCTCAAAACACCACGCGGCGGTTGTCCACTGGTGCCCGGGGTCCCCAGAGGAAGGACGGGGCCCTTTGCTGCTCCGCAGAGCCTTCCCACCCCCTCAGCAAGGCAGGCCTTCCCACAGGCAGGAAGCCCCCTGACGCTAGCCACAGCACTGGAGAGCTGCCGGCCTCCCGCACAGCAGGCACTCAACCAAGGCCCGCTCTGCGCACCCACCTGCCTGGCACAGCAGCCCAAATGCCTCGCCCACCTCCTGCGTGGCAGGCGTCATCTCTTAGTTAGGAATGGAGGGACAGCCGCTGCTCGCTCCCCGCTCCCCCTCCCTTCACAGGTGATGGGGCTCAACACAGTGGGGGTGGGGGCAGGGCCTGGGGAGCTGCAGCTGCCTGGCCAGTGACATGGCCAGAGCACAAGCTGCCCCAGGGACGCTCCCTGGCCCTGGCCTGATGGGCAGCGTGGTGCCAACCCGACTTCTACCTCGGATGGAGCTTGCCGCCCCCGAGGGGGCTGAGTCCTGTCAGCACAGGCCTGAGTCCAACCCTGGGCACTGCCCGGCTCAGAATTCACACCCTGACCTGCCTGCCGCTAGCTAGCCGGCCTCAGGACTGGCGGCTGCAGACACGCCCCCAGGCCCGCTCAGCGCACTCCCTTCCCAGCCAGATCAGATCCTGTCTCCCAGGAGTCCTGCGGTGATTCTGCCTGGACCTTGCTCTAGGCACAGGCACACTAGCGACCATCTCTAAACACAGCCAGTCTCCAAGGAGCACAGGACGGCTCAGCTTCCGCAGGCCCCGAAGGCTGCACTGCCTGCCTGCCTGGTTACCTGGCCCACTCCAGGGACTGGCTGCGGCCGCCTCCTCCTCTTCCTCCTGCTCCTGGGGTCTCCTGTCCGGCTCCTGTCCCTCCGTCTCCTCAGAGCCTCCTGGGGGGGTGGGGGGTGCTGCCCCTCGGGGAGGACTCACCTCTGCAGAAAGGAAAAGACCATCACACACTGCTGACTGGGCCCCTGTGGGCGGAGGGAAACAGGGTAAGTGAGCAGGCCCCGAGTCACCGCCCTTGTGGCTGGCTGACCGGGGAGCATGGGGACGACATGGCTGTGTCCCTCTGGAGCCCCCTCGGCCCCGGTGAACCGTAGTGTGGTGACCGTCCCCTCGGAAGAGTGAGCGGGGTCCTGACCAGGTGCCAGGCCCGCGGCCCGCACTGCCTCCCGCCGGCTGGACGCACAGCAGCTGGGCCCCTCTGCCAGGCCCCGCACCCAATTCCAGCCCAAAGGGCATATTTGCCTTCCGAGTGGGGCTGATAACCACCACAGCCCCCGATCGATGCGCGCCCATAAAGCCCCTTGGTGACGTCACATGCCGGGCAGATTATTAATACCCGAGATAAGGCTGTGATTAACATCAAATAAATCAATCACACAGTATAAAAGTCCTATTATTTTTGGCTATAAATCAAAGTGGCTGGCATTTGAGCTCCAGCCTCTGCGCGGGAGCCGCGCCGGACCCGCCTGAGCGCAGATACGCGCTGCTGCGCCGCGCGGCTTATCGCACCATCGCGGGGCGATCACCGCAGCTGGTGCCAGGTGCAGGCCTGGCTGTTTTTTCAGCTTGTTCCCTGGCCCCACCTGCCCCCCCTATGCAGCCCCAGCTCCCAAATCAGATAAAGGACCCAGCTCCCAGGGAAGCCACTGGGTCAAAGTCCACCAGCAGCCAGCCACTTGCCCTTTGGCAGTCCTGGCCTGCCCCGGCCTCCATTAGCCCGCACCTAATAATGTTGATGGTGAAGGAGATAAGCCCTAGGCGGCTCCGCTCGCGGCCCCCCACGCCACAGCGCTGGGCAGCCTCGGACGCAAGGCCTGGAGCGTGAGGAGCAGGGCTCAGGGGCCGTGGCTACACTCCACCTGGACCACCTGGCAGTGTGTATACTGACCACGGGCCCCAGGGGACGCACAGGGCCCGCCACCCGCCGGCCACACAGCCCTGGCCCCGGTTCATTCTGGGAAAGGGAAAGGGCCAGCCAGGGGCCTGGGCTGGGGACGGAGCAGGCGGGCTCCGAGTTTGTCGCCAGGCAGTGGGGTGCTGGGGCAGAGCCATGCTCCAGTTCAAGGCTGTCCACATCTGCTGGGCCCTCCGTCCTCCTCCCTGCCCACCCTCAGTGCTCCCCACAGTCCCCGTCCCTCCGTCCCCTTCCGTCCTCCTCACCGTCCTCCTCCCTGCCCACCCTCAGTGCTCCCCACGGTCCCTGTCCCCCCCGTCCTCCTCACCGTCCTCCTCCCTGCCCACCCTCAGTGCTCCCCACGGTCCCCGTCCCCCCCGTCCTCCTCACCGTCCTCCTCCCTGCCCACCCTCAGTGCTCCCCACGGTCCCCTTCCCCTTCCATCCTCCTCACTGTCCTCCTCCCTGCCCACCCTCAGTGCTCCCCATGGTCCCCGTCCCCCTGTCCCCCCATCCTCCTCACCGTCCTCCTCCCTGCCCACCCTCAAGTGCTCCCCACGGTCCCCGTCCCCCCCGTCCTCCTCACCGTCCTCCCCCCTGCCCACTCTCAGTGCTCCCCATGGTCCCCGTCCCCCCGTCCTCCTCACCGTCCTCCTCCCTGCCCACCCTCAGTGCTCCCCACGGTCCCCGTCCCCCTGTCCCCTTCCGTCCTCCTCACCGTCCTCCCCCCTGCCCACCCTCAGTGCTCCCCACGGTCCCCGTTCCCCCCGTCCGCCTCACTGTCCTCCCCCCTGCCCACCCTCAGTGTTCCCCACGGTCCCCGTCCCCCCGTCCCCCCCGTCCTCCTCACCGTCCTCCCCCCTGCCCACCCTCAGTGCTCCCCATGGTCCCCGTCCCCCCGTCCGCCTCACCGTCCTCCCCCCTGCCCACCCTCAGTGCTCCCCACGGTCCCCGTCCCCCCCGTCCGCCTCACCGTCCTCCCCCTGCCCACCCTCAGTGCTCCCCACAGTCCCCGTCCCCCCCGTCCGCCTCACCGTCCTCCCCCTGCCCACCCTCAGTGCTCCCCACGGTCCCCGTCCCCCCCGTCCGCCTCACCGTCCTCCTCCCTGCCCACCTTCAGTGCTCCCCACGGTCCCCGTCCCCCCCGTCCGCCTCACTGTCCTCCTCCCTGCCCACCCTCAGTGCTCCCCACGGTCCCCGTCCCCCTGTCCCCTTCCGTCCTCCTCACCGTCCTCCCCCTGCCCACCCTCAGTGCTCCCCACGGTCCCCGTGCCCCCCGTCCGCCTCACTGTCCTCCCCCCTGCCCACCCTCAGTGCTCCCCACGGTCCCCGTCCCCCCTGTCCCCCCCGTCCACCTCACCGTCCTCCTCCTGCCCACCCTCAGTGCTCCCTGCAGTCCATCCCCCCGTCCCCCTCTGCTCACCCCCAGTCTCCATTCTCCTCTGTCCACCTCCCGCTGTCCATTCTGTGGCCCTGCAGGGTCTCTGTGCTCACTGTGTCAGGGCAGAACTGCCCCTCAATGCCTTTGGGGCTTCTGCGCGAGGCCTCTGCCCACCTCCCCCGCTCGGGATCACGCCCCCGCTCGCCGCCCCCACGTGTGGACGGTGTGGCCGTGCGGCCTGTGAGATGCTGCTGAGGGTCGTCAGGCTGGGCACTAGGTCGTGCGTGCGGCAGGCAGCCCATGGCCACCTGGGACTGCAGGTGGAGGTGAGCGCAGGCCACTCAGGACCACTACCGTCCCTCCGGGACTCTGGCCTCGTCTGGAGCCCGGTGAAATGCTGGCCCCCACCCCATCGCCTCTGGAGAACTCTGGGGTCTCCTGAGGCCTTAAGGCCCCCCGAGGGCTGGTGCTCGGCAGGGCCCCCACATGAGGTGAGGACCGGGTTTAAGAGTAAAGCTGAGTCAGACCCGAGTCAGACTCCTGCTCAGGTGTGCAGGGGCTGTGTGACCCTGAGGAGACACCTCCCCTCTCTGGGCCCCGTCCGCCTGCAGTGTGGCGGGAGGCACGGTGGTGCAGTGAGCCGTGCTCAGCAACCCCATCTCTCGACGGTGAACTCAGTGCCCACAGGTCCCCAGTCTCCGCGTGGAGCAGCGATCGTCCGTCAGGGCCTGTCTCCCCCTCAGCGCAGGGCCGGGCACTGAGACCACCTGCTGAAGGCCCAGCCTCCGCCGGCTGTCCTCGGAGGGTGAGACCCAACTGTGGGCCTGGACGCCTGGGCTGACCAGGCGTGCCACGGCACAGACACCCCTGAGCCACTGCGGCCCTGGGGGCCCGGGGAGGATGCGCGGGGCACTCACCGGCTCGGCAGGGGCTTGGGGGCTCAGCCTCCTTGGCGGTCTTGGGCTCTGGTGCCGTGGCCTCTGGCTCTGTGGGACCGCTGCCGGCAGCCTGGGCCTCCTCTGCAAGCTCCATGTCTCCAAGGGAACCTGTGGAGAGGAGCCAGGAGCCATGAGGAGTGCCAGGGATCAGCCGGGCCCTCCTGGACCCCTGCCCCACGCCCCCACACCCTGGTGCCCAGGGAGGGGTGGCAGCCAGACAGGGGCAGGGCCAGCCACCCACTGGGGCCGGTGGTCAGGCTCCCTCTAAGCCCACCGGGTGGATGGGGGTCCTTCCCCAGGCCTTGGTCCTCAGCCTTGGTCCCGCCCTCCTCTCTCCCTGCTGGCCTGAGGGCTTGGGCCCCCAGTCCTGGGGTCTCGCCCACCAGCTGAAGATGTGGGGCAACCAGGGGCCCTTCTGGGGCAGGGCCTTCTGGGGTGGGTGCTGTAGGCTTCCTTGACCTGTGAACCCCACACTACATGTCTGCCTGGCCCCTACACGGGATCCCAGCACCCCAGTTCCCAGGATCCTGACACTTGGTCCACGGCCCAGAGTTGGCGGCCCCATGGTGATCTGCCGGGTATCCCCAACACCAGGGCAACGCATCCATGCCGTCAGGAGCGGAGAGCCAAGGCTCAGCGGGGCCTCCACCTCCGGTCACCCTCAGCTTCCACCTGGCTAGCTGCAGCGGCTCAGGGGGCAGCACCCTGCATGCACGGACCGCGGGGCAGGGCCGGCACTTCCAGGCCACACATCGCACGCTGGCTGTTGAGGATGGGGGCTCTGACGGGTGGGATGTGGCCTTTGCAGACCGGTGCTGGGTGGAGCTGATTGCTGGGCGTGGCCAGACACCCCTCCCAGCTCTACCACAGCCCCCAGCAGCCCCGGGGCGGTGCCACCCAGCTGGGCCACGGACACCCAGATAGCCCAGGGTGAGTGAGGGTCCTCCACTTACTGGAGAACAAAGGCGTGCACGGCACAAAGCGTGGAGAAAGAGGCTGCCAGGCTGAGTGTCGATTTATTCTAATGCTGCTAATTCAGTTCCAGCACAATTAAAACAGCGGTGATGATAATGCGGGAGACAACAGCCAGCCACGGCGAAGCCTGCCCCAGGCACCCTGGCTCCCTGGGTAAACGCGCCCATCCTGCTGGAGTCTGTCAGGTGGATGCCAGAGCCCCAGACCCCACAGGTTGGGGGCATCTGAGGACTGCTGTTCCTCAGCTGTCCCTTTAGGGACCCCAGCGGCTGGCCGGGTGGTAGACAGCACGTGTATGCCCTTGCTCTGTAGCCTGGGCCAGCAGTGCTGCCTCCTCGCTTACAAATGGGAAGTACCTGCTTTCCAGACCATGGCCCACGTAGACCCGTGGTGAGTGCCCTGCAGGCGCTGCCACCAGCCTGAGAGGTGGAGGGACACCGCTGCCGACTGAGCACCACCAGATACGGGTCCACCTGCGCTCTTCACGAGTTTCTCCCTAAATTCCCTAACCCACATAGCCCAGCAAGGTCATCTGCCACTTTCCATCTCAGATGGGGAAACTGAGGCACTGTCCAAGCTGGATCAGCTCTCAGCGTGGAGTGGGGAGCCAACAGGATGCCAGAGGAGGCAAGAGTGTGGCCGGGGTGGAGGATGGGCAGGCCCCTGGCGCACAGCCCTGCACCTCACAAAGAGGCCTGGGTCAGAGCCGCTTGATGGCCAAGTCAGCGGAGGCCCAGTAAGGCCGACTCTCTGGCCCTGTCCTTACAGAGGGAGCAGAGGCTGGGCTGAACAGAGACGCACTTCAGGCCTGTCTGGACCCAAGCTGCTCAGAGCCTTGGCCTCGGACCCCCTGGCCGCCCCAGGGCCTCCACCCAGCTGGCATCAGGTCAGAAGTTGGTGTCCAGGGCTGTGCACCTGCCTGGGGACAGTCAAGGCACTGCCATCAGGGCAGTCCCCAGCGGCCAGGACAGTGCTGGGCGCAGCCCCTCGGTTATCGCAAGGAGCAGGTGCCCAAGCGCCCATCCGTCTCCCGCTCATTAAGCCGGACGCAGGGATGGAAATGGAAACATAATAGCTATTTGATTGGGGGTGAGATATTTTGCATATTGGCTCAGCACTGATAGTGGAATTTCATCAACTCCCTTTTTCATGCTTTAAACTGAATTACGGAGACAGACTGCACGGCGGGCGATCCCTCTCCCTTCTGGTCCCTCCCGGGTCCCCAGCTGCTGGGGCTTCTTCCCGGAGCTCCTGCTACTGGGGCAGGACCAGGGCCCCGCCCGCAGCTCCCGGGGTCGGGTCAGGAGAGCGCTCCAGCGCTCCTGCTGCTGTCCCCCCGGGGGGCGTCACTGGGAACAAGGGTGCCGGTGGCTCTCCACCAGCCCCACCTCACCCACCCCTTCCTGGCACACCTGGCTCCTCTTCCGGACCCCTCCAGGAACGGGGCAGAGGCGCAGGAAGGCCCCAGGGGCCCCGCTTGGCCTCGCTGTTCCCACAGCTGTCTCAACCCCCCCATCTGCTCACGCCTCCTCGGCAGTGCCCCCAGGCGTGGCCCAGCAGGAGAGGAAGGCCGCTTGCCAGCGAGGCTGGGAACAGCATACGCCAAGGCCCAGAGGCAGCGCCTCCTAAACTTGGTCTTCTGGTGGAGAGTGGGGCAGCCTCTGCAGCCAGCTGGGCCGGGAAAGGACAGTAGAGGTTGAAGAAAAAGACCCCCCCACTGTATCTGGTAGAGGGCTTGGCCTCCCTGCCCCCCACCCCCGGCTGGGCAGCAGGTGGGCGGCCAGCACATGGCATTGCCAGGAGGGGGACCCTGGCCTCCAGAGCAATCAGATAAGGCCCTGATTGATAGCAGGGAGAAAATAGCAACAGGTTCAGGCTTTCTCACCGCTGGGTGGCGGGGGATGGGATGTCCCTGCCCCCCCTCCCTGAGGTGCGTGCAGTGAGGGCACAGGTCACCTGGGGGCCATGAACCTGGTCTAAAGCCTGGCCTCCTGGCTGGTGGACACCACTAGGGTGGCCCTGGACCAGCAGGCCTAGGTGTGCTTCAAGGCCTTGACCAGCCAATACCAACAGATGGGAAAGAAACTGAGGCACGGGCGTCCCCCACGCCCCTCCGTGACTCACACTGAGGGTTCTGAACGCCACGTCTGGGAAGGCATGGTGACCAGATCCCCAGGGGCCCTGCAGAGGCCAGGCGGCACCCTCAGGTCACATGACTGCAGTCCTCAGGCCACCACCTCTGCTCATAACTTAAGACTGTGGCCCATGCTGCCCACCCACCACCATGGGCCCCTCCCCACCCTGCCCACCCACCAGCCTGGACCCCTCCCCACCCTGCCCACCCACCACCCTGGGCCCCTCCCCACCCTGCCCACCCACCAGCCTGGACCCCTCCCCACCCTGCCCACCCACCAGCCTGGGCCCTCCCCACCGGGCCCACGCTGTTGTTTGCTACCCAAAGCCACAGTCTGTGGATGGCTGCCACCGTCTGAGAGTTCCCTGACCACCACCTTCCAGACCCCCGACCCAGTGCGTTGCTGGGAGGCACACTGCTAAGCTCCGCAGGGCCCAGCGCTGTGAGCACAGGCAGGGTGGTGGCTGCCCAGGCCGGGCTCCCAGGGCACCTGGCTGCGCAGGCCCCGAGAGGGCTCGGCGGCTGGGAGGGGCGGCCAGCAATTGGTCTGGTGGCCACAGAGGAGGCTGGCGGAGGGATGGGCATTTTCTGCCTGTTCTAGCAGGGTGCCACGCCGGGCCTCCCTGGTCCCTGAGGGCCATGGCGAGTGGGGGCTCAGCCTGAGCCCACCCCTCCGGGCCTGCCACCCGCCCAGGAATCCGCCCCCACTGCTCCTCCTCCCCAGGGCCGCCACGTTGGTCTGCGCTTGCCCTGTGGTAGACAGTGCCCTGGGCTCTGGGAGACCCTGAGGCCTGGGGCGGGTGCCGGGGTCTCCCGCCTTGGCTGCGTGCCCCGGGCATGCAGGCACCCACTTTCTGCCTCTGGAGAGGGTCGGCGGAGGCCTCGGGGTGCTCTGGCAGTCCCTAGCAGGAACTTCAAACGTGGGGCAGGGCAAGCCCAGCAGGGCTGCCTGGAAGCTAAGACCGCGCCAGTGGGAGGGACCTGCTCTCACAACACTGGAAATGTTCTGCGGAGACTCACTTCAGACAGCGCGCCACGCAGCCCAGGCCACGCACAGGGCCACATGGCCCGCCCCACACGAGGACAGGGCCCAGCAACCCAAGCTGGGAGGGTCCTTTCCAAACGCCTTGAAGATGTCATCAGCCGTGCTTCCTTGTGGTTCTGCAGCTATCCCCTTCACCTCCCTGGCCAGGGCACCGTCCCTGCTGGGCTGGCCGGCCTGGCTCTGGCCACACTGCATTTCTGGATGGTCCTGTGTTCAAGCTTTAGCGGGCCTGGCAAGACTGGCACTCCAAGCAGCTCCGTGGACAGGCCACGTCTGGGCCTCAGAGGGCACTACGGTTACAGGTTTTCCTCCGATCCCTGTGGTCCTGGACGGTGAACTTAGGGCTTCACGTGTGCACACAAGGGCTCTACCACACGAGCCACATCTCTAGCCACTTTTTGTTTTGTTTTTTGGTCATGCGTCTTAAATTCTGGGCCTGGGCGCTGTCCCTCAGCTCAAGGCTAGCGCTCTACCACTTGAGCCACAGCGTCACTTCCTGTTTTTTCTGCTTATGTGATGCTGAGAAATTGAACCCAGGGCCTGGTGCATGCGAGGCCAGCGCTCTACCACTGAGCACCTTCCACTTCTTTTGCTGGTTATTTTAGAGGCTGGGTCTTGCTTTATGCTACGTCTGATCCGATCTTCCCACTGAGCACCTTCCACTTCTTTTGCTGGTTATTTTAGAGGCTGGGTCTTGCTCTATGCTCCGTCTGATCCGATCTTCCCACTTGGGCCTCCGTGTCACTAAAGGCAAGAGGCACATGACACCTTGCAGTCACTGGGCCCAGCCAGGCTAATGGGTGCTCCGTTGGTTCAGATGGGGTCTCAAGAGTGTTTTCTCCAATCTGGCTTCAAACCATGATCCTCCAATATCTACCTCCCAAACAGCTAGGATTACAGGCTTTAGTCACCATTCCTAACAGTGTGTGTGTGCGTGCGTGCACGTGTGTGCATGCACACACGTGCACGCAGGCATACCAGTACTGAGACTGACAGGCCTCAGGATATGACCTGGCTCTCACTCCAGGCTGGCACTCTACCACTTGAGCCACACCTCTACTTCCAGCTTTTTGCTGGTTAACTAGTGCTAAGAGTCACACAGATTGTTGTCCTCAGACTGGCTTCAAATTGTGATCCTCAGCTCTTAGCCTGCTGAGTAGCTGGGATTATAGGCATGAGCCACTGTGCTCAGCTAGTCTAACCTCTTAGAAGGGTTCCTGACTTGGTGCCCGTTTTGCGGGCAGGGACAGTGAGGCATGCGTGTGCAGACCTGTGCCAGGCCTCTGTTCTGCAGAGCAGCAGCCTGCCCTGCTCTTCCCTGTCCAGGTCCTCAGACACCCTGTCCACACCCAGTCCTGGCTCACAGCAGAACAGGACTATGGATGGGGCCTCAGGGCTAAGGCCTTGCCCCCCACCCCCTTCTGGGCCTCAGGACCATTCACATCTTGTCTGGTGTGCACTCCCATGTGATCTCTGTTCATCTTCCCGCGTCTGTTCCTGGGACCGGGGTGTCGCTCTGTCATGTGTGTTATGGACTACGAGGAGAGAGGGGATTCCCTCCAGAGGCAGTGGCTCTCTGCGGTCCAGAATCAGCACACAGGCCTGCTGAATCCCGCATCAGCACAATCCCACAGGGGTGTCTTGCTATGACGGAAGGGAAACTGAGGCAGATGGTGGTCATACCAGCCTGCGTCTGACCCTGAGCTGGCCTCAGCCAGCTGCTCACACAGCTTCTCAGAGCAGTCCACACTGAGGCCCGGCAGCCTCCCGGACCTCAGTTACGTACCGGGTAACGGGCGTCAGAGGCGAGCAGCTGGGAACAGGGCACGGGAGGCTCTGGGGCAGAGCCCCCGCCCCCCCCCAGGAGCACAGCTCTCTACAGGGTGCCAGGAGAACACAGAACTCAGGATGGGGAGGTGGGAGGGGCCCAGGCTGCAGGGGATGGCGTCTGCGGGGAGATGGCATTTTGGCGGTGGCCACTGGAGTCCAGAGCGGGTGAGCCGGAGGCCTGGACAGAGCGGGTGGCCACAGGAGGCCAGGGCAGAGCTGTGCGGGCTGTGAGGAGGGTTTGGTGCCCAGGTGGGGGGAGCTGGGCTCACACTGTGCATTAAGAACAGGTCTGCCGGATACCACATGAAAGCCAGCAGGCTGACGGGCACTGGGCTGCCTCCTAGCCCTGGGCCACTTCCTTGGACTGCCCAGGGACCCTCCTCCCGCCCTGAGGCTGCCCTGGCTCAGGCTAGAGCCAGCGGGCTGGTCCCCCACCCGGCCTGTCCCCAGGGGCAGGGGCCCAGGTGGGGCAAGGCTGAGAAAAAGGAGGTGGAGGAGGAGGAGGAGGAGGAGGAGGAGGAGGAGGAGGAGGAGGGAGGAGGGCCGGGCCTGGCTGATAGGGAGAGATTGGTTTCAGCGGCCGAGGGCCTGCCAAGTCCACATCCTATCTGCGGCCTGCACTTACTCAACATTCATCACTGTTGAACTCGGAAACTTTATCAACGCTAAAGGTTGGCGCCATCTCTGGGCCCGGCCACTCCCGGCCTCTGATGGGCCTGATAGATTACGGGAGATTGTTTCACTCTGGAGAAGCCATTCCAGCGCAGCCGGGCCCCCTGTGGTCAGCGGTGGCCAGCTGTTGGGTCTGGGGGCTGTGGGGCCCAGACCAGGTGTGGCTGGTAAGACCACGTGGCAGGCAGGGGCGGCGGAGGCAGGGAGCAGGTCAGGAGCCCCGGGAGCCAGAGAGGACGGCAGAGGCGAGTGACCTCTCTCCAGACGGTGATTTGGGGTGCGGGAGCGACGATCGGGGCCGGCAGACAGCTGCTCACCACAGCTAGCGGCAGATGGCCGCTGGGGAGAGCTGGGTTCCAGTGTGGCAGGCGGGCAGCACAGAGCCATCTTCAAAGCACACTCCGGCACACACAGGGCAAACTCCAGGCCTCCCTCAGCCCCCGTCCCTATCACCCCACTGTGCAGGAGCCACAGGACAGTCACGTCCCCTTGGTCTCCACGGACAGGACGTCATACCTCATGACTCAGGACTGTCCCGCATCAGCACGCCACACCTACAGAGCCCATCACACTCCTCAGAGAACCAGGGGGACAGCCCTTCCTCTGTGCATTCGCTTTCCACCAGGCTGTCCAGGTGGCCCCGGGTCCTGGCCTGGGCTGCACACAGTGGTGTCCTGTGTGAGTTTAGAAAATGGTGCTTCTGTGTGGAGGCACCAGAGTGCGGCCTGCGGTGGCAGGCGAGGCCACGGGCCCCAACACTGCTCCCGTCCACCCCGCTCCCGTCCACCCCGCTCCTATCCACCCTGCTCCTGTCCGCTCTGCTCCGCTCTGCTCCCATCCGCACCCATCCACTCTGCTCCTGTCCACCCTGCACCCGTCCACTCTGCTCCTGTCCACCCTGCTCCCGTCCACCCTGCTCCCGTCCACCCTGCTCCCGTCCGCTCCCGTCCACTCCTGTCCACCCTGCTCCCGTCCACCCCGCTCCCGTCCACTCTGCTCCTGTCTGCTCCCGTCCACTCTGTTCCCATCCACTCCCGTCCACTCTGCTCCTGTTCGCTCCCGTCCACTCTGCTCCCGTCCACTCCGTCCACCCTGCTCCCGTCCACTCCCGTCCACCCTGCTCCCGTCCACCCTGCTCCCGTCCACCCTGCTCCCGTCCGCTCCCGTCCACTCTGCTCCCGTCCACTCCCGTCCACTCCCGTCCACTCTGTTCCCATCCACCCTGCTCCCGTCCACTCCCGTCCACTCTGTGCCGGTCCACCCTGCTCCCGTCCACTCTGCTCCCGTCCACCCTGCTCCCGTCCACTCCCGTCCACTCTGCTCCCATCCACCCTGCTCCCGTCCACCCTGCTCCTGTCCACTCCTGTCCACTCCGCTCCCGTCCACTCCACTCCCGTCCACCCCGCTCCCGTCCACCCTGCTCCCGTCCACTCCCGTCCACTCCGCTCCCGTCCACCCTGCTCCCGTCCACTCCCGTCCACTCCGCTCCCGTCCACCCCGCTCCCGTCCACTCCCGTCCACTCCGCTCCCGTCCACCCTGCTCCCGTCCACTCCCGTCCACCCTGCTCCCGTCCACTCCCGTCCACTCCGCTCCTGTCCACCCCGCTCCCGTCCACTCACTGCCTGGCGCTCCTCTGAGGCAGAGTCTGTTCTACAGGCTGGCTTTTTCTTCCTGCTCCTTTTCCCTTTTATGTCCTTTGTCTCCTGGATGATCTAGAATCCAGCGGGGAGTAGTTATACACCCCACGCTGTCCTGGGGGTCAGCGAGGAGACCCGGCCCCCGAGGCCTCGGAGGCGGCTCAGGCACAGCCCTCCAGCCCTCACGCCGCTGTAAGAGGGTTGGGAACAGAGGCCCAGAGGTGAGGGCCAAGCGCCAACCTGCTTCTGGTCTGATACCCTTCCCATTTCTCTCCTTAGACCTCAGCCCACCTCAGCTCTCCGCTCTTCCACTTAAGCATTTCTATAAAAACATCCATGTCTGTGGCTGATTTTCCGTTCATGAGCCTTGTGGGTGCTGTGGGAGCCGACAGCCAGGACTCTGGGCTGGAGTCTGCCAATAAGATGCACGGAGGACTGGGGATGTGGAGGACCACAGAGGGCTTGTGGCCTTTTTCCTGGCCGGGGGGCGGGGGGGAAGCGGGGTAACCGGAGACATAGGTCTCCAGAGGACCCAGAGGAGACCTGGCCACCTCAGCCCTCAGGGAAGGGGCGAAGGGGCTGGGAAACCACCTGGAGTTGTCAGCCTATGGGGTGCCCTGCTGTTCCCCAGACGCTCCGGCCTCCTTGCAGGGGCCTGACCAAGCGTGACTGGATGCAAGTTACCAGAAGGAGCAGAGCTTGGAGGAAACCTAGACTCACGGAGGACCAGGGGAGCTGGCAGGCCTCAAAGCCGGCTGCACTGACCCCATAACACACCCACATCCGGGCCCCCAGTTCAGTGTGGGAGGAGTCTGGACTCCTTGAGGGTCAGCAGAGGCCATCCAAACGCCAGCCTGTCCATCCTGTGCAAGGTGAGTTGGTGGTCCTGATAGTGAGGCAGGAAAGACCAACCCTTCAAGAGCTTGACTTAAGTGGGTCTCCCCCTTCTCCTAAAGGGAAGGGGAGGGGAGGCCCCACCCCCAGCTGCTCAGCCTCCTCAGAACTCAGGACCACTCATTTACACGTCCTGTTCCTATTGGCTGATTGCAGGTAGGCCTGTGGTACCCACCCAGGGGTGGGGCTGGCCCTAGGGGAGGGGCTGTGACCCTGGCACTTGATCTGGACAGAAAGAGGTGACTGTTGGCTGTTAGTTGTGGGGGACCTGCAGTGTTCCCAAAAGAGAAGAGCCGGGGGCTGGGAAGGTGGCTCAGGGGTAGAGCGCTTGCCTTGCATGCCTGAGGCCCTGGGTTCGATTCCTCAGCACCACATAAGCAAAAGACAAAAGCCGGAAGTGGCGCTGTGGCTCAAAGTGGTAGAGCGCTAGCCTTGAGCTGAAGAGCTGAGGGACAGCGCCCAGGCCCAGAGTTCAAGCCCCATGACCAAACCCAAAAAAAAAAAAAAAAAAAAAGAAGAGCCCTCTGGAGAGAGCTGGTGTCCACTAGGGCTGACTCAGAAAACAGGGCCTTACCCAAGTCAGATGACCAAGATCCAGGGGTCTTCTCCCAAGTCCTGAATCCTGGCTCATCCACCCAGCTGTCCCTCAGGGGGTCTGTGACAGGTCCTGAGTCCCCCCATCCACCCCAGCTGTCCCTCAGGGGGTCTGTGACAGGTCCTGGGTCCCATCCACCCCAGCTGTCCTGAGTCCCCCCATCCACCCCAGCTGTCCCTCAGGGGGTCTGTGACAGGTCCTGAGTCCCGTCCACCCCAGGCTCTCCCTTCAGTGGGGGAGGGGAGCTCTGGGGGCCTACTCTGGGGGCTCCCTTTTCAAAGCCATGGTGATGGTGGTGGCGATCGCTCGCTTTCCCTCTAGATCTGGTGGCTGCGCGTGTCGTGGGCAGTGGGCTTGTGGGGGGTGAGTGTGTGTGTGCGCGGCTTTTGTTCCTGGCATTTTGGTGGGGTGAGATAAGGGGAGGCGGAAGGCAGAGCGAGCAGGCAGATAGATGCGGCGATAGCGGCTCCTCACCGCACAGTGCATATCACCCTCTTTATCGCAGTTCCCTTTTCTTTCTGTCTTTGTGTCGGGGGCTGGGAGGGTGGAACACGCCATCCTACCTCCCACAGCCAGGAGCTCGAGGTGGGGGCCTCCAGCTCAGCTCCTTCCCACTGGGCCCTACACACCCAGGGCCGCCCAGGGCTCCAGCAGGAAAGCACAGGGACAGGGACATCCTCAGGGACAGGCACAGCAGCCCCAAGACACCTGCCTGGCGGGCAACACCCTGGTGGGGACGCCGTGGTGGGGACGCCGTCTGGTGGGCAACACCCTGGTGGAGACGCAGTCTGGTGGGGGCACCGTCTGGTGGGGGCACCGTCTGGTGGGGGTGCCGTCTGGTGGGGGCACCGTCTGGTGGGTTTAGCCGTCTGGTGGGGATTCCGTCTGGTGGGGGCACCGTCTGGTGGGGGCACCGTCTGGTGGGGATGCCGTCTGGTGGGTTTAGCCGTCTGGTGGGTTTAGCCGTCTGGTGGGGATGCCGTCTGGTGGGGGACGCCGTCTGGTGGGGACGCCGTCTGGTGGGGACGCCGTCTGGTGGGGACGCCGTCTGGTGGGGATGCCGTCTGGTGGATGCCGTCTGGTGGGGGATGCCGTCTGGTGGATGCCGTCTGGTGGGGATGCCGTCTGGTGGGGGATGCCGTCTGGTGGGGATGCCGTCTGGTGGGGGATGCCGTCTGGTGGGGATGCCGTCTGGTGGACGCCGTCTGGTGGGGGATGCCGTCTGGTGGGGATGCCGTCTGGTGGGGATGCCGTCTGGTGGACGCCGTCTGGTGGGGACGCCGTCTGGTGGGGACGCCGTCTGGTGGGGACGCCGTCTGGTGGGGACGCCGTCTGGTGGGGGATGCCGTCTGGTGGGGGATGCCGTCTGGTGGATGCCGTCTGGTGGGGGATGCCGTCTGGTGGATGCCGTCTGGTGGGGGATGCCGTCTGGTGGGGACACTGTCTGGTGGGGACGCCGTCTGGTGGGGGATGCCGTCTGGTGGGGATGCCGTCTGGTGGGGATGCCGTCTGGTGGGGACGCCGTCTGGTGGGGATGCCGTCTGGTGGACGCCGTCTGGTGGGGATGCCGTCTGGTGGACGCCGTCTGGTGGGGATGCCGTCTGGTGGGGGACGCTGTCTGGTGGGGATGCCGTCTGGTGGGTTTTGCTGTCTGGTGGGGATGCTGTCTGGTGGGGATGCCGTCTGGTGGGGACACTGTCTGGTGGGGATGCCGTGTGGTGGACGCCGTCTGGTGGACGCCGTCTGGTTGGGTTCTAGCACTCCATCCCAGCAGCTCCTCACAAGGACCCATGGGGACAGTCACCCCAGCAAGAGGCCCAGAGACTCAAAGCTGCTTAGCCAAGGTCACACAGCCAGTGGTGGTGTGGGGCGCTGCACCCGGGCCTCTCTGGCCTCAAGGCTAGCGGCCTGGAGAGGAGGTGCTTGCTCCTCCTGGGAGCCCTTGGTGGGGAGGGAACTTGACGGGGACAGGCTCAGGAGATGTGGCCGGAGCCCACCAGGGAGTCAGCCCTGGACCTGCGGGGTCCTCACCCCATTCTAGAAGCCGGAAGCTCAGGGGGGCCTGCTCACAGCAGGGGCGGCTGGACAGCTGAGGGTGTGCCCCGCACCCTGCAGCCGCCCAGGGCCCTTCTAGAGCAGATTACAGGACTGCAAGGGCAGGTGCTCCAGGGCCCCGGTCACTGTGGGACAGCAGAGGGGTGGGAGAGGCCCCAAGGCCTCTGGGACTTAGAGGCAGCCTGCAAAGGGAACCCCATACCTAGAACACAAACAGGATTCCTGTGGGGTATGCGGCAGATGACCCCCACCCCGCCATGTGCCTGGGACCCCCACCCTGCCACGTGCCTGGGACCCTCACCCCGCCACGTGCCCAGGAGGCACTCAGCCGTCCACCCTGCCATGTGCCTGGGCGGTGCTCAGCCGTCCACCCTGCCACAGACCCCCACACACACCCAGGCGGCGCTCGGCTGTCCCACCCACCCCGCCATGCACCCCGCCACGCACCCATGCCTGCTGCAGGGCCCTGCTCTCCAGCTTCACCCTCAGGGACCAAGGAGCCTGGAACGGGGGGGGGGGCGCTGCAACGCAGGCAAACCCACCGAGAAGCTGAGGTCACCTGCCCAGCTGCCAGCCAGCACAGGAGCCGACTCTGAACTCTGACCACCCTGTCCCACGCTGGACCCCGCTCCAACAGCACTGGCAGCACAGCACTTCCCTTAGACTTCTGATACAAACCAAAGGAGAAGACAGAAGCCAAGTCCCTCGCTGAAGGAACCTGTCTTGTGAGGGCAGAGGAAAGGACTCCAGAAAGGAGCAGAGGCTGGCAGACCGGCCCGGCCCCGGCCAGCACGGGCCGCGCGGCTCTGAAAGGAGCAGAGGCTGGCAGACCGGCCGGGCCCCGGCCAGCACAGGCCGCGCGGCTCTGAGCCTGCACCAGCGCCTTCTCCTTGCAATGGGGGTGCAGTGGGGGGGCAGGGGGCATAGCTGCAGACACCCCAGATGTCCAGACAGACGCAGACGCGGATCTGGAACGAGTCTCTGGGTTCGAGTCCCTCCTCTTCCCTCCTGTGTTGTGCAACCTGGGTGATCTACTCAACCTCTCTGAACTTGGGAGTTTCCAGAAGAGAAAGAAGTCATGGATGTTCCTCCAGGGTGAGGAGTGGGTTGGCTGCGGGCGGGTGACGCGCAGGCCCCGCAGGGAGGGCTCGGTACGGAACGCCTGCCCCGACAATGGCCACGAAGGAGGCCCCGGAGCCACCCAGAAGAGCCGGCGGCCCCATCCAGATCTGGGGGCCAATTCTGACAAAAAAAAAAACAAGCCCAGAGCAGGGGCCTGATCACGGCCCCGGCAGGAAGGCCCGTGGTACCCGTGCCCGGGACCGCCAGCCTCGGTTTCTCCTCCCAGGCTCCTGAGGCTGCCTCACCTGTCCCTCAGCAGAGGGATTAGCCGCACGCAGCCTTAATCGCTGCTAATCACACCATCGCGCAGATGCGCATCAGCTGAAGGATGTGGCTTTATCCAGACAGCCGCACAGTGGCACCTGAGTCCCATCCGGCGCAGACAGTGATGTGTGGCAGCCGGCTGACGGGGCAGGGGGAGGCAAGGTGGCCGGGACAAGCCCCTCCCAGCCCAGCGCCGGTATCCCGACACACGGAGCACCTACTGTACAGCAGGCAAAACTCCTGCCCCAATGCACCATGCCCTCCCGAGGAGGCTGGGTCTACACCGGACAGAGGAGGAAACTGAGGCCCAGAGGTCCCCACAGGGCCAGAGTCCAGGTAGCTGGCTCTTGATCTCCCTGTGGTCCATTGCCAGGCTTTGGGGGAGGGCCCAAGGCGGCCTTCTGCTCTAGGGGTGGGCAGTGTGTCAGGGCCGTCCACCCGTGGTCAGCACCAGGGCCGCACGGTGAGGCTGTCCGGGCAGAGGCCTGTGTGGCTCACTGGACTCTGGATGGTTCCAGTCCCGGCCTGGCCCAGGGGCCAGGAGCGGACGGGGAGGCTGCCAAGGGCGCCCTTCTGGGGCCCCATCTCCTACCCTCCTCCCTACCTTCTTTTTCAAAAACATAATTTATCTGTGTATTATCAAGAAATCCAGACACTTTAATCAGTGAGCTATGAAGTCAGAATTTCCATCCTTATCTGCGGGAGGAGTGGAAGTGGAGGAGATAGGCAGGATCGCTGGTGGGGAATGTTAATGGGCGGGGAGGCTGGGCCATTGGCCACGGAGACGGCTATCTCCTCCATTATCGAGGCTGTATCTCACCCACCATCTCGGTGCGGTAATGGGGCCAGTTCAACTTTCCGAGTTATCACAGGAGTTGAAACCTGCGCCCGCAGAGGCCCGGATGGGGAGACAGTGTGGGGCGGGCAAGGCTTCAGCGGGCCGGGCCGGGCGCCTGCAGACTGGAGAGCCACACACAGGACCACCTTCTGCTCAGGAGGGGAAGCTGAGGCAGGGGGCCCCTCAGACTCCTGGAGCTCTGGGCCTGGGCAGGGAAGGGGCGGTGTCAACAGCGGACCTGGGCGCGCCCCGGGGCCCTCTGCCCTGTAGGGAGCCTTAACCTAAGGCCCCTGCTTCTCCTCCCCAAAACACTGGCACCACCCCAAGGTCGCTCCTGGACCCTCTTTAAACTCCCCAAGCCTCAGTTTCCCCATTGGGGTTTCTTCCCGAACTGCCAGCAAGACTGAGATCAGGTCTGTATGGTCCTGGGCACCGGGCAGACACAAGTGCCTCTGGACGGGGGCCTGGATCCCCGGCAGGCACAGCTCTGGGCCTTGGCTCCCTGTCTGCAGGGGCGGCAGAGAGGCCTCCGGGGCAGCGGGGGCACACCTCACTGGGACGGAATCTAGCAGGACCAGGAACTGAAGCCCCCGTCCCGCCCAGGAGCGGTGCTGCCACCACAGGGAGGAGCCGCGGCCCTGGGCCTGCTCCTGCAGGTCGCTGGCTGCGCGCTTGGGGTGACCTGGACGGAAGAGGAAACGGAGGCAGCCGGTCGGCAGGTGCTGTACCGCGGGAGATGCCAGGCGGGACCGACAAGAAGCAGGCCTGGGGGAGACAGCAGTGTCTGGGAGGATGAGGGTCCTGTCAGTTCCGACAGCAGAGCCCACCCCAGCACGGTCAGGCCGCTCCCCGGCTGGGCTTCCACACAGAGCCCTACACGCCAGCCATGATCTCTCACACCCTGGGGAAACCGAGGCTCAGAGCTCTCAATGGCCTCAGGACCAGTATTCCCAGAGTTGCCCTTTGCAGAGGTGGGGTGACCTCCCTGGGCTGTGGATCCTGCTCTGCCCCCACAGCGGCCACCCACAGGGACCTCCTAGGAGCATTTGGGTTAGAAAGCAGCGTGGCTCCTGTGTGGCCACCAGCCGGGGGACCCGAGGCCCAGCTGGGAGCAGCCCCGAGTGGGTGCTTAGGCAGCATGCAGGGTCACTTATGTGCTGTACGACTCTAAGGCCACCGTCCACCCTCTCTGACCTACATTTCCCATGCACAAACGGGTTGAGAGACCCACGCTTGAGTGTAGGAAGGGATGCAGGGGGAGACCGCGTGGAAGGCACACTCCGCGCTGGTAGTGCTGGCGTGGTCTGTGGGGTGGGGCGGGGGAACCGGGCACCAAGACCAACTAGGCCCCCGCTGCTCACGAAGGCCACGCAGTGCCCCGCCAGCCTTTCCGCAGAGGCTGCTGAGGCCTAGAGGCCAAGGACAGCTGCCCAGGTGGGCGCTGCATGCCGTCCATCGATTCGCCGTTTGCCAGCTCCGTGACCTTGCCCAGACACTGCCTTTGCGTTCTCTTCTCCTTCGTTTTGGTGGTCCTGGGGTTTGAACTCAGGGCCTCAGGCCTAGGCGCTCTACCACGTGGGCCATGGGCCCAGACAGCTCTGGGGTCAGGTGGTCTCACACAGGGCCTCAGCATTCCCACTTGTCAAAGCAGCCAGTGGAGGAGGTTTGGGGCAGGAAAGACCTGAGGCAGGAGGCCAGGGGGTCGGGGGCAGCCGGTCCTGCAGGCAGTCACACTTGAGGGGCAGGAAGGCAGGGTGGTGTGACACTTCCGGCAAAACCTGCAATGCAGCTGCAGCGCCTGGTGGCAGCCCCGACACCGACACCATCAACCCAAACCCGGAGCCCGTGTGGTCCTCTGGCGACACGGAGCTGGGGGCGGGGGCTCTTGCTAGGTCACAGGAGGGCAGGGCAGGAGGCGGGCTGCCCTGGCTGTCGGCCTGTTGGGGGGGAGGGTGGTGGCAGGAGTCTCCGCAGCCTCTAGAGACCCACAGGCAGGGTGAGGGGCAGGCCCCGCCCGCCCACGGCGCCCTCCTGGGGCCCAGCCCCTCTGACAGTGAGCAGAGCGAGGTCCGGAGGCCCTGATTTCTGCTCCTCCGATGGGAGACAGTCTGGGGCGGACCTGGGCCGGCCGAGGACCCTGTCAGAGCTGGGTGAGGAGCCAGGCCAACACCTTGACGGGTCCAGAGTTAGGCCTCCTGCTGGGGCCAGCAGCACAGCACCAAGCCGGGCGGGCGGAGGGGAGGGTGGGTCTCCCGGGGCCCCACCGCCCAGGGCCAACCTGGGCACAGGGAACCTCCCCAGGCCTCTGGAGGTGGAGGTTGGTTGCCGGTCCCTCCCTGGCAGCCTGGCCCCTGCAGAGCCGCTGAGGTGGAGGAGGTGAGGGAGAACCATGGGCTGCTCCAGGAGCATGGCTCCCCGGCCCAGAGATCCCAGCGACATGCCGGCCTGGCAAACCCCAAGCAGCAGCCACAGGAGCAGCCGGCTGCTGGGGCTCCCTGACTGGAGGCTGCGGGCGCCCACCCTAGGCCGTGGTGATGCTGAACTCTCATGGCAAAGAGCTTGGAAAAGGTCTCCTGGAGCTCAGATTAGCTAGGAACCACAGACCTCAGCCAGCAGACCACCATGTGGAGGAGGAGGAGGAGACGGGGCAGGAACGGGGAGGTGGGAGAAGGGGGCGGGGGGGAGGGGGGCCAGCTGCCGCGGATAGCAGCCCCATTCCTCCAGTTCTCAGAGCAAGGCCTGAGGCAGCGGAGGCCCACGAGGGCAGGCTTTGCCCACAGTCCCGGTGGCCACCTCCTGATGGCCTGTGATGTGGGACAGACGCCTTCCTGCTCTCAGGAGTGGGCGGTGGGGCCAAGGAGGCTGCTGGGCATATGTGCAAAGGCACTGAGGCCAGAACGAAATGGCCAAAGTCGCGCTGGAATGCAGGCCTGACTGCGCTGGCGGTGCCCTCGTCCACACGGCCACACGCCACAGCCTGCAGGCCTGGGCAGCCCACCCTCTAAGGACAGAGATGGGTGGGCTCTGCCCAGGTCTCATGGCCAGACACCACAGTGGCAAACTCTTGCAGGTGCTGCACCGCCCTGGCCAAGGCCAGGGCTACCAAAGGGGAACCAGCAGACTGGGCCTGCGGAGCAACACGGGGCCTGGCCTCTGTGTCCCCGTCTGTGAAATGGGGGCAGCAGACACTGGGAACCTCCAGAGGGACCCTGGGAGTGGGGCAGGGTCCAGCTGGGCCCGTCTGGCCAGGCGGGACTGTGCGGGCCGGCCCGGGTCTGAGGGCTGGAGGTACCAGCTGCCTCCAGGAGGCCTGTCGATGGCAGATAGGCCTCGGGAGTATTATTCACTAGCCGTCAAGCCCCAGGACCGTCTGGTTGGCATAGAAACAGGAGATAAGGGGCACAATTAATGGCATCGCATTCCTCCTCCTTTCTTCCCCAACTGACCCACTTAAATCCCAGAGCTCAGTGCCATGCTGGGCTCCCGGTGACCTCCAGGGAGGGAGACGGTGTCCGGGGCTCCGGCTGGCGTAGGCTGTGTCAGGCCTCTCCAGGAGCTGCCCCTGCACCAGAATGGCCCAGGGAGGAGGCCATGGGGGCGGCCAGGAGAGCGGGAGACCCCAGAGCCGCCACTGCGGTGCTGGCCGCCGCACTGACGTGGGGACCGAGGCCCAGTCCCCGCGCTTCACAGGGTCTCCTCCGCGCTTGTTTTCCCAGATATGCTGTGGTGAACCTGCTCAGGCTCACTTGTAGGGAAATGCCCACACGCTGTCGACCACAGGCACGGGACCACCGCCACCACGGGCCAGCTGAGTGTCCCCCTGGGCCGGACTCAGGAGTCAACCAAAGCCCAGAAGGCATCAGGGATGACTGGGTGGCTGCCGGGCCCAGGACAGGGCTGCAGAGTCCCTCCCGCCTCCAGCTCCCTCTCCACCAGGGCCGGGGTGACCTTGACCTTGACCTCGAGTGCGCCGCTTCAGAGTGCTGGCCAGGGCGGGGTGATGGGGCCAAGCAGAGGGCAGGAGGGACACCCTCTGCTGGCCCCTGGACAGCAGACGCTGCCCGAAAGGGACACCCGTGGGAGGTGATCTGTCCAGGCGGCTCAGAGGCCAGCAAGCTGGGCCACCAGAGCCCTGCTGCTCCGAGGGCTGGTGGGTACCACAAGAGGGTCCCAAGAGACTACACCTGGTCTTCCTGGGCCCCGCCTGGAAGGGACCACCACCATAAAAAACGTGCCAGGACCACCCCAGCCCAGTCTGGGGCAGGCGCAGCTCTCCTCTGACAGAACTGGCACTCTGCAGACAGCCACCATGGCGCCCATGGGTGCGTGCCGGGCTGTTGGGGAGTGAATTAGTTATCTGGTGGCTACCAATAATTTGTTGGATCAAACCGTGAGAATGTGTGAAAACATCCTGCTCTGGCTGGGTGGGAGGTGGCGAGTCCCCAGGCTCCTTCCTGAAGCCTCCGGCTGGCTGGCTAACCTGCCTGCCGGCCCCCATTGGGTGTTGGGGTCTCTTGCAAAAGGACTCCTTATCATCTCTGTGCTGACCCAGGAAGAAACGGAGGCTAGGCCCTGGACTCCCCGGTCCTGCAGACGTCTCTAGCTCAGCCCTTCCCCACCCCAAACAGCCAGGGGTCCTCGGTCCATTTTTCTGAGCTGAAAACCAAGGCTGGCCTATTGTCCGTTGGGGAGCCATCCCTCACAGCTGGCCTCCTCTTGACAGCCTGGAGGGTCCCTTCTGAGAAGTGTCCCTGACTCACCTCAGCTTCTCACGCGGCCCTCAGCTCCCCGCTGCGCTGTGCTGTGCTGTGCTGTGCTGCGCTGTGCTGTGCTATGCTGTGCTATCCTGTGCTGTTCTGTAGGGCTGCAGCTGGGACCCAGTGCTGTGGTCACTGAGTGTTTATTGAACACATGCCCAGTCAGGGAAGATCTTGGCAGACCTAACCCTGCTGTGGGCACCAAGGAAAGAAGAGGCCAAAACATGGGCTGTCCCCAAACAGCCAGGTCTATGGAAATTACTTTTTTTTTTTCCTTCCAGAAAACTCCAAGCAGGCTAGGTCTAAGACTTGCCCGAAATCAACAGCAACCCAGCACAGATCAAGGGAAACCACTCTCTGGAGGTGACAAACCCAAGTGCGAAGCTGGGTGCCAGCGCCACCTATCAGGAACGAGGGGCGGGGTGGCTCCCCACCCCGTGCCACTCACTCAGTTTCCTTTCATTTTGATGGCGGTACCACTGGCCTTAGCGGGAGGATCAACTTCTTGACAATTAAGTGTTTAGAGGGGAAAACTCCCCAGATGGACAGTGCTGATCTGCTCCTGATCTGCTCCCCGGGGGCTGCCCAGGCCCCCCACTGGTGGCACGGGTCCCAGCCCGAGGCCCCGCTGCTGCTCTTGCCTCCGACCCAGCCAGGCCTGGTGGCGTTAGATAAGGCTTCTTATCACTCTAGGCGATCGTTGTAGGGCTGGCCCCCACAGATCGGGCTCCCATCGCTGGGTGGGAGGCGAGCCTGGAGGTGAGTGCTCAGGGGTCCTGAGCTGTGCCCTGCCCTGTGTCCCCAACAGGGTCGGCCTATCATCTCAGCCATCTGGCTGGCCAAGGCCAGGCTCCCGCCTCCCCCTCCTCCCTCCCACGTTTGAAGTTAATAAATAGAAGCTCCTATCAGCCTGCCATCGGTGGCAAGCCTTATCAGCGCGGCACATCTATCTCTGAGCAGAACAAAAGGCGCAGGGAGCTCGGGCAGCTGCATTCCCACTCGGATGGTGGGGGGAGAGCGATGGGAGGGCCGTCCCTCAGACCCTCTCCCTCTACAGCCCGCACCCGGCCAGGTGAGGCCAGGGCAGAAGGGTCACACTAGGAGGCTGAAAGCACAGCTGTGGGCAGAGGGCTGGCGGACAGGACAGGCGCCTCTGCTCCGGGTAATCAACGTTAAGATCTTAACTCGCTTCCATCTGCCTGGGAGGAGGCAGCCTGGGCCCGGGCTGTGGGGAGGGTCCTGACCCCCACCCTGCCCAGTCCTGGAGCGCGGGGAGGGTCCCGGCCCCAACCAGCAAGCCGGCCGAGCCCTGCTCCGATTCTGTGGGCTTATCAGTGCTGGCGATCGGTTCCCAACCTGCGATCTCCTGCCCCAGCTATCTGCATTTCTCATCAAGCAGAAATACACACACGCACGCACACACACACACACCAGCACTGAACTGAGGCGCACGAGGGAGGAGGGGAAAAGAAACCAGAGAAAGAGCGCAGATCCGGACCTGTGGGTGGTTCTAATACTTGAGTTGACATGATAGAAGGCGACTTTCAGAAAACAGGTCCCGCTTGCATCTGGGGAGTCGGGTTACCGGACCCGGATTCCCGCCCTCCGATCCGCTCCCCCTTCCCAGGGGCTCTCCCACAGGCGGGGCCTTGGGGTCCCGGGGCGGTCGGGTGGGCCGGGAGGCCGTGTCCGGGCGCCCCTGTCCCCTCCTCGGCGGGCGGAGGCGCCTGGGCCCCGGCCACGGAGGTGCCAAGTTCTCCGCGGTGCGTGCGCTTCCTGTGCGCCCACCGCGGCCCCCGGCCCCCGGCCCAGGGAGCTCTCAGGGCCCGGGGTCCCGCGGGGGTGCCAGAATCGTGGGGCGCCCTCGGAAGGGGGTGAGAGGAGGGCGGGTGCCGGGGCCATCAGGACACCGGCTGCGGCGCTGGTCACCGGGGGCCCGGCCTCGGGAGG